CATTAACCTCCTCACTAAGAATTGTCTTGAGGGGAATCGAGATGCTTCTGCATGTTCATGTACAGGATAATTTATAATCATTTATTTAACAGCAAACACTGGTAATGACATACAGGCCCAATGAAGGAAAAAATGGTTAGGACTGGGAAGGTGGCCCAGTGGTAGAGTGCTTTCCTTGCATGCATGAGGCCCTGGGTTTGATTCCTCAGTACCACATAAGCAAAAAAAAGCCAGAAGTAGTGCTGAGGCTCAAGTGGTAGAGTGCTAGCCTTGAGTTGAAGAGCTGAGGGACAGCGCCCAGGCCCAGAGTTCAGGCACCATGACCAACAAAAAAAAAGAGAGAGAGAGAGAAATGGTTAAACTCAGTGTCCAGCCTTAATAAAATTAAGCATTCCTTTTGTGTGCGTGCGTGTGTGTGTGTGTGTGTGTGTGTGTGTGTGTGTGTGTGTGTGTATGTGTGTATGTGTGTGTGTTACTGGGGATTGAACTAAAAGCTTCTTGCTAACTTGGTTTCACCACTTGAGCCATATTAATGGTCTTTTTTTTCTTTTTTTGCTTTAGTTATTTTCTTGATGAGGTCTCAAGTTTTTGCCCAGGCCTCAGACTGAGACGATCTTTTGGGCTGGACTGGCTCCAAACCTTAGTCCTCCTGATCTCTGTTCCCAGGTAGCTGAGATTATAGCCAGGGTTTTATTGTGTTATTCCATGTATGTATATAATGTACTTTGATCAAATTCACCACCCTCTATTAGGAAATTAAATCCTAAGGCTGCTTAATAATGTGTGAATATGCACCCAATAAATGAGAATAAAAAGTACCCAGAATAGGTTGAGCACTGGTGACTCACACACCTGTAATCCTCAAATATGATCTCAGAAAGTTGAGATCTGTGGATTACAGTTTGAAGCCAGTCTGGGAAGAAAAGTTTGCTAGATTCCATCTCCAAAATAACCAGCAAAAAAATTGGAGTAGAAATGTGGGTTAAGTAGTAGAGTAGCTAGCCTAGCAACGTGAAGCTCTGGTTCAAATCCCTCTACCACAAAAAGTATCAAAAGCATAATAATTTTATAAATACACAAAAATGAAACAAAGGAGCAAGAAAAAATGAAAGAAGGAAAGAAAAAAGAATACTCTGAGTTAGCTACAATTTGTCTCTGTGTAGCAAGACAGCACTATGGATAATTTTAATTTTGCTTCTTACATTCTAGTAACATTTTCTCCCTTTGATAATGCTTTGCCTTTAGTATAAGAAAACATAAAGCAGAATGAACATTACATTGTTTTTGGCTCTGATCCTGTGGAAATATCCAATCTATCCCTAAATATTTGTTGAGAATATATTCTTAGCCCTGAGGTGCAGGAGAGTGCCAGATTGGGTTCTGAAAGAACAATCTGTAACAACAGATTATTCATAACAACTGTAATAGCAATCTCTGGACACCTCCCAAGCTCCATTTTCTGTTCTCTTTGTTTTTAAAAAAAAGTCCATCTTCTTTGAAGAACTTTAGCAGGTGGATGAGCCAGTTACAGATCCCTTGGGGGCTGGCTGGAAGCTTTGTGGTAAACTCTAGAACTTTCCCTAGCTGGAGTAGAACACCTCACCCCTTTTGAACCATGACCCTGCAAACTTCTCTCATGACATTCTAGTTCTCTTCTAGTTTTTATTTAAAGAAACACTTCCCATTTGTGGAGTGGAAGGGAAAAAACAAATCGTTTAACTTGGGATACAGGTGGACCCATTGCAACAATGAGATGTACAAGTTGTTATGTCTAAAAACAAACTTTACAACTTTGGTGAGGGGGGTAGGATTGGGTGGAGGGAGGTGGGGGGAAGATGGGAAGGGATGGGAAGGGGAAACAAAGAGGAGGCAACAATGCTTGATAAGAAATGTACTCGTTATCTTGCCCATGTAATTGTAACCCTCTCTGTACGGTATTCTCACAATAAAAATAAAAAATAATAATAAATACTTCCCTTTCCTTGTCAAAAAAAAAAAAGGAAAAAGAAAAAAATATAGTTTCCCATGAAGTCTGCAGAACGGCCTGGTTCACGCTTGTAATCTTAGCTACTCAGGAGGCTGACATCTGAGGATCACAGTTTGAAGCCAGCATAGGCGGGAAAGTTCATGAGACTCCTTACCTCCAATTAGCCACCACCACTACCACCACCCCCCAAGAAAAGAAGAAGAAGGAAGAGGAGGAGGAGGAGGAGGAGGAGGAGGAG